GTTCTTCTTGGAGGATAATGGGAAGGGAGCCTGGGGACAGACAGGGGATCTAAGCGGAGGTATATGTGTCCAGGTTTCAACGAGTGTGGCAAAGACTAGGGAGCATGTGTTCAGGTGTGAAAGGCTGTACCTACAGTTTGTGTATATGTTCAGATGATGCTCTATGTTTCTTCAGCAATAGGTATGTCTAGTTCATTAATAATCCTAAAATCACAGAATTTCAGACATCACCCCTACATCTGAGTAAACTAAGTCCAGAAGGAGAAGTGACTGGCCCAAGGCCACACAGCTAGACTATGACAGAGCTGGGTCTAGAACTGAGGGTCCCTGATTTCCTCGCCATTGTGCTTTCTGCATGCCCCACATGGCTCTGGCAGGCCAGACCTGCCTTGTAATGAGTGTGGGCCATTGTCCCTGGTTCACTCTGATACCTCATCCTGCCCTGAAGGAAGGAGTCAGGCCAAAGGATAAGAAGTGATGTTGGGCCATTGAGCTTTTACGGGACAGGGAGGCAGCAGGTCAACCCTCTGGGAGACACACTGGGAGAACCAATTTCTCTGAGAATGATGGTCCCTGGCACTGCTGAAATGTTGGTTAAAATAATAAATACGGATTGGCCATCGTGTGTTTTGTTTTGAGATGGCATTGATCAGCTGCCTCCTGCATGCCCCACACTGGGGATTGAGCCCACAATCAGGCCATGTGCCCTGGCCAGGAATGGAACTGCGACCTCCTGCTTCATAGGTCAATGTTCAACTACTGAGACACACCGGCTGGGCTGTCTTGTTTTTCATTGAGATACAATTCACATACCATAAAACTCACCCATTAAAGTGTACAAATCAATAGTGTTTAGTATATTCACAAGGTTGTGCAACCATCACCATGATCTAATTCTAGAAATTTTTATCACTTTAAAAAGAAACATTATATGTCCCTTAACCGTCACTCCTCATTCTTCCCTCTCCCCCATCCCTGGCAACCATTAATCTACTTTCTGTCTCTATGATTTGCCTGTTCTGGACATTTCATAATAATGAGATCATGCAGTATGCGGCATTTTGTGACTGGCTTCTTTTACTTAGCATAAAGTTTTTAAGGTTCATCCACGTCAAAGCACGTATCAGTTCTTCATTCCTTTTGGTGGCTGAGTAATGTATTTATCCATTCATCAGGTGATGGGCAGCTGGGTTACCTCCACTTATTGCCTATCATGAATAATGATGCTAAGAACTGTGTGTTTTAGTGGGTGAGGACATTGAGCAGCTGGGGAAGCTGGGCACGGAGAAGTGCAGCAGTTTGCTCCAAATCTCAGTTAGTAAGGGACAGAGCCAGGATCCAGACCCAAGTCTTCCTATGGGACCTCTTTCTCCACAATTTGTTCCAGGCCCTGGGTGGGTGACTCAGGAGCTGGGGCCTGGGGAAGGTGGGAGGACACATGCTGATGGCCCTGGTGTCCCCTCCTCTACACAGGGGAGCTGCCGTCGCCCCAGGAGACAACCGTGGAGCTGAGCTGTGGACCGGGGCCAGTACAAGTGGTCCTGGGCCCAGAGCAGGTGGCGGTGCTGGACTGTAGTCTGGGGACTGCCGCTGCCGGACCCCCCACCAGCGTCACGTGGAGCAAAGACGAAGGTGCCCTGCTGGAGCACAGCCACCTGCGCCTGCTACCCAACGGCTCCCTGTGGCTGTCCCAGCCGCTGGCACCCAATGGCAGTGAGGAGGCAGCCCCTGGAGCCTCAGATGTCATCGAGGGCAGCTATTCCTGTCTGGCCCGTGGCCCGCTCGGAGTGGTGGCCAGCCAGGCTGCAGTGGTCAAGCTCGCCAGTAAGTGCCCGTATCGGGGGACTGAGCTAAGACCGGGGAGGCCTGGGGTGTGGGAAGTGGGATCCTGATTGTTACCTGCACAAAGGCCTATCTTTTCAGCTCAGGCCCCTTCCCCTGCCTTCCTGGTATTGTCTGCCTCACTGTTCATTAGTCCCATTTCTCCACTCCTGTTCTCGCTCCTTTTCTTTCCCATGGAGTTTGAGAGTCTAAAGTTGTGCTCTCCTCCAGGAGGCCTGCCAGAGGGGCTTATAAGAGTATGGGAGCCCTAACCGGTTTGGCTCAGTGGATAGAGCGTCGGCCTGCGGACTGAAGGATCCCAGGTTCGATTCTGGTCAAGGGCATGTACTTGGGCACATCCCCAGTAGGGAGTGTGCAGGAGGCAGCTGATCGATGTTTCTCTCTCATCGATGTTTCTAACTCTTTGTCCCTCTCCCTTCCTCTCTGTAAAAAATCAATAAAATATATATATTTTTAAAAAAGTATGGGAGGCACAAAGGTGGCTCTCCAGAGAGCTCCCCACCTCACAGGAGGTGGAGTATGTGGAGTCAAGCCCCACTGTCCAGTCCACCCTTTGGGGGCTGTCAGGAGGCCCAGGTCACCATGAAATAATTTTCAGGACAGAAAAAGTGTGCATCTTACTGTGGGCTGACCATGATTCTGATGTTAAGCCTGGGGACTTTGGAATTCACAGCATCTGACCAGTACTGACCACTCTTATCTTCTCCAACTGTGTCTCTGTTGGTCTGAATTGGCTCTGCTTGTATTCTGTCACCTGTGTCTCTCATGTGTGTTTCACTGTCTGTGCGCGCTGTGGCCTCTCTTCCCCGTCCCTCTCCTGTCCCTGCCTGTGTGTCATCCTCATCCTCAGCACTCGCAGGCTTCTCTCTGCACCCGGAGTCTCAGACAGTGGAGGAGAACGGGACAGCTCGATTTGAGTGCCACATTGAAGGGCTGCCAGCTCCCAGCATTACTTGGGAGAAGGACCAGGTGACAGTGCCTGCGGAGCCTCGGTGAGTGCCCTGTAGGGGAGTGGAGAGTGGGGCCCAGTGGGCAGGCCAGGGAGGGCTCGGGGATTCTTAGAGTCAGGAAGCCTCCGTTTGCTGAAACTGACTTAGGAGCCAAACACTGCCTGACTCTCAGCTCATTTCTGGTCCCAAGGAGAAGTCAGGCAAGAAGTTTTTGCTCCCTGGGAGGAAACGCCCCCCGCCCCCCCCCCTGCCCTAAGCGATGGAGCTTGGGTAGGGAGTAGTGATAGAGTCCTTCAGAGCATCTCTAGTCCAACCACTTGCTTTATTGAGGACCCTCAGGACCAGAGAGGAGCTGTGGTTTATCCAAAGCCACACCATGAATCTCTGGCAGAATGTTTATTTGTTCAAGGCCCCACAGCTGCTGGAAAGGTATTCTCTTTGCAAGGTTCTTCTGGGGTTTCTACCTCTCTTCCTCTCTCAGGCCCTCCAGTAGCATCTGATGAATGGGTTGTGGGGGTCCTTCCTGTTTCAACATCCTCTCTCCCCATGAAGTCAGTGGGCAGAGGGAGCTATGCCAGGGAAGCGTTTCTAAGGTGGAAAAGAAGCAGAGGCTAAACCCTCTCGTGGCCTCCTGGGTAGGCCCAGATGTACCTGCAGCGTGACCAGAAGGCATGAGGCTCATTCACATCTGAGCTGATCTCACGACTCGGTTGTCATCCCATGGATTTTCACATCCATGGAAATGTGGCTCCACAGGCCTTTCCCAGCCTCTGGCTACCTCTCTCTAGCTGTAGCTACCACCTCACCCTCTCCTGGTGGAGGTGGGGTTCCTTCGGCTCAGAAACACTGGTTTTCAGATCTCCCTGACCTGGGACTAACCTGTCTTGAGTGTGTTGAGTTGTCCCAGCTCTTCCTATTTTTGCCCATGTCTAGGTAGGAGTGAAAGTGTAGGAGAAATTTCTAGGTAGAAAAGCCACAGGACACATCTCTGTAACAGTTGTGAAGGAGAAAGAAGGGAGAGAAGTCAAGATATAAGCCACCATGTTGACTTTGGTGATTGGTTAGTCCCATTGGTCCTCAGCAAGTCACTTCTCACTTAAGGAAGGGGGGTGGGGGGGATAAAAGAATTGGATTAGTTCAGGGTTTCCCAAGGGGTGTTCTTTGCAGAAAATTAGTCCCAAAAGAGCCCTTTTTTTGGGGGGGGGAGGGGAGGACTATTCTGTAGTCAAGGTCAGGAAACTGCCTATAAGTCTCTCTCTTGGAATTGACAAGGCACTGAGAAGTCCTGTATAGAAAACCTGTTTAACTTGTTTAACCAGACACTTCCTAGACTCATCTGCCCAGAGCCCCTCTTGCAGCATTCCATGAGTGAGCATTCCTAGGGAGTGGACCATGGGAATACTGACATTTTAAGTTCCATGCCTTCCAAATGTGAGGCTGCTCACTGCTCTCTGGTGGTGCTTGCTGGGAGTTGGTGGGTTAGAACCAAATGAGAGCCTGCTCCTGGCAGCCGCCCCCCTCCTGAGAGAATGGGGGAGAGGAAAAACCACTCAGTTAACCCTTCATCCTTCGAGGTAGGTATTTCTTATTTTTCATATTATCCTTTTAGTGTATATTCCTAGAAAATGCATTTTCAAATTCATATAAATAAAAAAGAACAAAGATTACTCATCATCCTGTCACCCATAGAAAGCCACTGTTAGTTTTGATGTCTATCCTCTGGACTTTCCCCTGTATGTTTATACATATTCTCTTGAGAAATTGTACATACTGGTTTTTTTGTTCGGTCATTTTTTTTTTTTTTAATTTCAGAGAGGAGGGGAGAGGGAGAGAGAGAGAAACATCAATGATTAGAGAGAATCATTGATCAGCAGCCTCCTGCATCCCTCACACTGGGGACTGAGCCCATAACCCAGGCATGTGCCCAGACAGGGAGTCCAACCATGACCTCCTGGCCCATAGGTCGATGCTCAACCACTGAGACATGCTGGCCGGGCTCAGTCATCTTTGTGTGTGTGTGTGTGTGTGTGTGTGTGTGTGTGTGTGTGTATGTGTGTTTTTTCCAAAAACAAATATGAGGTTATATTTCAACTTTTACTTTTTTTTACTTAACACATAATAAACATCCTTCTAGGTCTGTACATGTGGCTATGGCAGATATTATTATCCAAATTGTTAAATGAGGGAACTGAAGATCAGAGACAGAAATACCTTGGCCCAGGTCACACAGCTAATATCCAGTGTTGGGTGCCAGAGCGTGGCATGGATGACACCCAAGCCTCTCGTGACTTGAGGGTTGTGGTGGGGCAGCTGCAGTGTCTGAGGAACTTCCCCTGCAGGTGGGCTTAGAGATCGGGTGGTCCAGCTGTGGCTCAGAGCAGAGAAGTTCTTTCCCCAAAGTTTTGAGCGAGCAGTGGGATTCAGACCTCGCCTCCCAGCAGCTAGTTCAGGCACCATTCCAGAAGGCCACAGGCCTCTCCCAGGAGCCTGGAGCTGCCAGTTCCTGAGCTCTGGGAGTGGTTGCCCCCAAGTCCTCTGAAAAGTGATCCTCGTCTATAAATAAGCCAGGCTCACATGTCCTAGCACATTGTGTGGGGGAATAAAGAAATGTCTAAAACAGCAGCTCGATTATGCCCAAGGTATGTATTTTTACACATGCCCAGATATAGTACATGTACAAATATGCTATTCATAAACTCAGCCCAGTGGTTTGAAGGAGACCATATGCCTTGGTGTAGGGTGTGCACACGTGCAGTTAATAAACGCACTCTGTCAGGGTATATGTGCATATTTTTGAAACTGATGGTGAAGACTAGACCCTAAGGCAATTCCCTGGTTCTTAAACTGATTTCTAATGATAGGGGATAATTTTTCTTCCATGGGAACCAGTCATCAATGAGAGTAATGTTTTCCAAAATCCAGGCATTCATAAACCTCCTTTATAATGTTGGCCGTCCCTGAACAATTTATACAATCACTTACTTAATACATTTCTCAGAATCAACTCTCTCTTTTGTAACTTAACACATACTAAAAAGAAGCATTATCTCACTGCAGTAAAATGGAAAACCAGCAATACTTACCATAAATAGAAGGTGGCCATAAAAATAAATACATAAGCACTGGAATAAAAAAATGTGTGTCTGGATCCATTTGAAGTCATTTTGTTACTGCCATTCACTCACACTTTAAAAACATGGCGCTAAGGGACTCAAATTCCATGGGCTCCTTCATCCAGTCTTCCGCCCTGGCCATCTCCAGTGTCCGAGTCTGTCAACATGGTGTGACCCTCAGCTAGTGTCCTTTTACCCCAGGGGCATCTCTGTAGGGCTTAGGGCAGTGATGGCGAACCTATGACACGTGTGTCAGAGGTGACACGCGAACTCATTTTTTTGGTTGATTTTTCTTTGTTAAATGGCATTTAAATATATAAAATAAATATCAAAAGTATAAATCTTTGTTTTACTATGGTTGCAAATATCAAAACATTTCTATATGTGACACGGCACCAGAGTTAAGTTAGGGTTTTTCAAAATGCTGACACGCCGAGCTCAAAAGGTTCGCCATCACTGGCTTAGGGTGAGGCTCTTTGGCCTCAGGAAACTCAGAGCCGCTGTGTCATCCCTTCTGTGTTCCTGAATCCCTGGGTCCAAGTGGCCTTTTGGGGGAGGAGGGCAGCAGGCTCAGTCTCAGGCTTGGAAAGAGAATTCCTCCCTTTTGGATAGAGGTTGCTTTTCATTCTATAAGTAGCTATTTTGTTTTATTTGACATTTGAATTAATTTTTAAATGATAAACTATGCTAACTTTAAGGGGGGGAATCACCTACCACCTGAACACAGACAGCTATTACCATTTTTGAGTATTTCTTCCAGTCTTTTTAAATATGTGTACCATTTACACCATTGTAAAGATGTGTTTAGAGTTTGTGATTGGTAGATGTTTATGTCCACTATCTGATGTGAGCTCATAAGACGTTAAAAAGGTTAGGGTTGTGAAGTAGGCAAGACAGAAATTAGTTAACCCATTTTTCAGATGAGAAGCTGAGGCACAGATATGTGATGTCACTTGCTAAAATGTTGGAGCTAATTCTCTCCAATCTGCCACTGAGCCTGGAGTTACAGAACAAGGTGTACAAAACACATACTTTTTTCCATTTAAAATTTTTAAAGTTTTATATTTCCAAACTAATAAACATTCACTGTAATTTAAAAAAAAAAAAGCACAACAAATAAGTCCCCAGTAATCCCACTTTCAGAGAAAACCTCCCTGAGTGATGGGAGCTTTACCACCCTTGACTTTTTTGTGTATATCCTAACGTCATTTATTTATGTTCCCAAAATAGAGTTGCTTCATAAACACTGTTTTGTGACTCTTTCCCCCACTAACCAATAGATCTTGGACCTCTCTCCAGGGACAGAGCTTCTAAAACCACATTTTAACCAAACAGAAAAGATTGTAGAGCAGGGGTGGAGGACCTTTTTTCTGTAGAGGGCCATTTGGATATTTATAACATCATTCGAGGGCCATACACAATTATCAACTTAAATATTAGCCTGCTATATTTGGTCAAACATTTAATTAACTCACCCCCAATGCCTTGGCAGGGCCAGACCAAATGATTTCTTGGGCCTTATATGGCCCACGGGCCGGACGTTCCCCACCCCTGCTGTAGATGAACACTAACAGTGGTTCTATTTTGCTCTGTTGGCCATCACAACAGCACATCTGAGAAAAGGTATTCGTTCATTCATTCAGCACATCATTAAGGACATGTTACTTGTCAAGTGAGGTATTAGCTCTCGGAGCATAATTTCCCTGGAAAGGCCAGGGAACCTTGGGGTTAAGAAGTGTGGGAAGCACGAAGGGTCTCGGAGGCCGAGTGTATAAGGTGGAAGAAGCCTGGATGGGGATGGGAGTTTTGTTTCCCAGGTAAGTCCTGCTTGTCCTTCCCCACTTGGCCTTTCCCAAGAAATTTCCTGTGGCTGCAGGCTGGGTCCAGCCCAACATTTTACTGCCAACCACACTTTGCCTCCTTGTCCCTTCTCCCCGACTGGCCCCACACAGATGTGGGCAGCTGTTGGAGCCGAGGGAAGATGCGGGGCATAGGTGGGTTGGCCTTTGGGGTGAAGGAGGGAGGATGCAGATTTCTGTTTTTTCTCTAGTCTTTGGGCCACAGTACATTTCCAGGCCCCTGGCCAGAATTCTCTCCCAGCACCCTTGAGTTAGTTCTCATCTCCTGTGTTTAGGTTTTCTTATACCCCGTTTCCCCACAAGCTAAGGGATCTTCACCAAGTGCACAGCTGCCCATTTCCTCTTTGACCTTGGCCCAGCCTATATCCAGGGGCCAGCACTGTTTGCTCTCTTGAGAAATTTGAACTCTCAGCCTCGAGCTGACCCTGCAGGGATCACAGTTGGAGGATTCAAGAGGACCCACTCATTCCCTGTTTGGGCCAGAGCCCACCACCCTGGCCTCCATGGACACATTTCCCTGCTTTGTCTGTCAAGCAAGGTCCTGGGCCTTCCTAGCCTGAGCCATGTTCCAACCCCCCCCCCCGCCCCCCCGTTACCAGAGGGCAGAGAATACTACCCTCAGCCAGCCTGCTCCTCCTCAGTAATACTAGTATCCATGTTGACTGGGGCTTGCTGGGGTCCACGTCCCTTCCATTGGCATTCTCAGCCACCTAAGGGCCGCTGAGACGGGCAGGTGGGAAGAACATGGGATTTGGTACCAGAAGACCTGGATTCAAGTTTTAATTCTGCTCCAGTTGTGAGGCTGTGCTCTCGAAGCCTTAGTTTCGTCACCAATAAAATGAAGGTTGTGATCCCCTCTATTTCTTGGGCTTGTTTTGAGGGTCAGATGAGATAGTGTGAATAAAAGAGACTTTACCAGGGAAGGAAGGAGGTAGAGAAGGTTGTATAATGAAAGTAAGTCCTCTCCCACTTTCAGCTCCCAGGATCCTAGGGCCCCTCCTCAGAGACAACCACCATCACCAGGGACACTCAGTGCCAGCATATAGTGCACATAGCCCCCCACACGCATTGTGGAAACTTCCTGTGTCGGCACACATGGAGCTGCCTCCTTTGTAGCAGCTGCCTAGCATTCCATTGTGTGAATGTACCCAAACCGATTTAGTCAGTCCCCACCCTACAGAGGGACACTGGATTGTTTCCAGTCTTTTGCTATTGAAGACAACGCTGGAGTGAATATTGTTAAACATGCATTTTTGTGTCCATGTTGGAGAATATCTGTGGGAGAGAGTCCTCGAAGTGGTGCTGCTGGGTCAAAAGGCAGGTGCAGGTTTGAGTTTTAAGATATCCCCAGCTTGCCCTGGAAAGAGGGTGTATGGATTGGCATGGCCACTGACAAGACAGGAGTGCCTTCCCCCCATTCCTTCAAGTAGGGTGTTATTGAACCTTTTGACCTTTGCATATCTGATAGGTGAAGATGGTATCTTCTAGTTCTAATTTGCATTTAAAAAATGATGAGTGAGGCTGGAAAATGAGACACTGTGGGTCTTTCAGGTTGGAGTGGGGAGGCCCGCCTTGGGCACACCACCCTCCCTGTAGAGCTCCTGCCCACCTCACCGGTGCCCTCTTCCCCTTCCCAAGGCTCATCACTCTTCCCAACGGGGTTCTCCAGATCCTGGACGTTCAGGAGAGTGACGCAGGCTCCTACCGCTGCGTGGCCACCAACTCAGCCCACCAGCGCTTCAGCCAGGAGGCCCTGCTCAAGGTGGCCAGCCGAGGTAAGGGGCCCACCGCTGGGGGAAGCCAGGGTGTTTCTGGAGTCAGCTTGGAGGGGCCTCAGAGGTCCAAGCCCTGCCTTCAAAGAGGTGATGGGGTATCACTCCCATCAGACAGGAGAGGTGATGAAGCCCAGAGAAGCAGTGCCGCCCAGCAAGTCAGGGAGAGACCTGGGCTGGATTCCCAATGCAGGGTTCCCTTCCTGTGGAGACCCTGTGCTCCCTTGGGCTGGTTGGAGCATCTAGGGCTGGGGGCAGGTGGGGAGGTAAGGCATCTGGGAAGGGTGTCAGTGCCCTGCAGCCCTGGTCCCTGTCCCTCTGGGGGCTCAGGAACTGGGGGGTTATCCCTTGCTACTTGCTGTGCCCTGCATATCTAACTCCCCCCCCCATCTGGTGTTTCTGTATTTTCCATTTCTTGGAAAAGCTCGTGTCCCAGGGTGATGCAAGGGGAAGGTCACAGGCTTTGGGGTCAGAAAGACCTGATTTGCGTCCTGGCTTCTTTACTCACCATCTGTGTGACCCTGGGCTGGTTATCAAATGTCCAGCCCTGGGAGGTTGTGAGAAGAGCTGAGCCGAGTGGAAAGTGCCTGGCACCTAGCAGGTGCCCCTCTGATCCTACTTCAGGCCTCCCCCAAGGGTCTCTCATTTGCCTCCCTTTGCCAGGGTCATCTCCCCCGACTCCTGCCCTTCTGCACATCTCCTCCCATCCCCCAGTCCCTCCAATTCCACCCTCCTCCCTGGGGGCTTAGCTAGTGAGCTGCTCTGAGTCTGGTTTGCTCTCCCACCAGTGCCTGGGGTCTCTGCCTCCATCTGCTGGACAAAGCAGGTATTCACCATGCTGACCCAGGGGACAGTCACACTGAGAACTTGGCAGGCATCAGTGCTCAGGGAGCTGCCAAGGAGCCCACCCCATACCTTTCGCACATGGGGCCTGGAGACCCTTTGGAGAAGGGACTTGTCTAAGGTCACCCAGCTGGATGATGATGATAATAAGTGTTGGAACTAGGAACTATGACTGTTGACTCCAAGTCTGCTCATGACCCTGGTGGTCCTGGAGGGTGGGTTCAGTGCGGCAGGGAAGAATGGGGCGGTGTGCTGGAGACCAGGTTATTCCTCTCCTGGCTCCAAGAGAAAGAGGCCCCAGTCCCAGTTCTGGGGAACTAACTACATGGCTGCTTTCCCCATCTGTCAGATGGAACCGTGGCTGCTCCCTGCCCCACCTGCCTGGCCAGGGGCACCAGGGGAAGTACACATGTGAAGGCACCTAATGGGCCTAATGGTAAGACTGCCTGCTGCTCTGCCCTCTCTCCAGGGTCCCTGGCGTCTACCGGGGGGCAGGACGTGGTCATTGTGGCAGCTCCGGAGAACACCACCGTGGTGTCTGGACAGAGTGTGGTGATGGAATGCGTGGCCTCTGCTGACCCCACCCCTTTCGTGTCCTGGGTCCGACAGGGTAAGTGGAGGGAGGGAGCTGAAAGGGCAGGGAGGAGGAGGGGTGTGGCATCTCATGTGTCCACAAGTCAGCTCTAAGGGTGACCACTTCATAGTCACAGCCTTTGGTGTGGCAGGAACTCGTCTCCCAGGGCCAGGTGTGGGTAGGGGACCTGGACAAACTTAATCAATCAGTGTAGCATGTTTCCTTTACAAGGCACTTTGAATGTGCCACTCACAAAGTCTTATTGAGACCTTACTTAATGTGGGCACCGGGCTAGCTTCTCCCCCTTATTTCATTCCTCACAACTGGGTTGCGAGAGAGAGTGAGAGCTGGAGTGTGAGAGCTGGAGAGGTGCCACACAGCCGGCGAGTCGGGTTGGAACCAGGCCCCCACTGCTGCTCTGGTTAGTCACAAAGCTGCCTCTTGGTCCACGCAGTGTTCTCCGCCTTTGTGTGCCTGGCTTCATGCTGGGCACAGTGAATAGAATACCCAGATGAGAGCCACAGGGGCCCTCTGCACTCACAGTCTGGGTGAGGGAGATAAGACGCAGCCATAAAAGAAGCTGCACAGTGTGACCGTATCAGGCGGCAGGTGATAAGTGCCAGGTGGGACTGCGTTACCGGAGATGCTATCCGGGTAATGAGAGCGCTGAGCCAACCGTCACCTTGCAGTCTACTGAACACTCACACCTGCTGTCCCTCCAGAGCCCCCGAGAGCCCTTGGAGGAGAGTGTAAGAAGTAAGGCGAGCCCCCAGATTCAGGGGTCCTGGTAGAACAGAAACCATACTTGGGAGCCAAGCAGCGAGGCAAACATCTTTCCTCCTGCAGGAGGGTGCGCTGCACAGGGTCTGGGAGCACAGGCACACTGAGTCAGGGCTGCTTGGCTTTTTATTTTTATCTATTTATTTATTTTATTAATTAAATCTTTATTGTTCAGATTATTACATTTGTTCCTCTTTTTTCCCACCATAGCTCCCCTCCACCCAGTTCCCACCCCACCCTCCTCCCTCACTCCCCACCCACTGTCCTCATCCATAGGTGCACGATTTTTGTCCAGTCTCTTCCCGCATCCCCCTCACCCCTTTCCCCCCCAAGAATAGTCAGTCCACTCCCTTTCTATGCCCCTGATTCTATTATAATCACCAGTTCATTCTGTTCATCAGATTATTCACTTGATTTTCAGATTCACTTGTTGATAGATGTGTATTTGTTGTTCATAATTTGTATCTTTACCTTTTTCTTCTTCTTCCTCTTCTTAAAGGATACCTTTCAGCATTTCATCTAATAATGGTTTGGTGGTGATGAACTCCTTTAGCTTTTTCTTATCTGTGAAGCTCTTTATCTGACCTTCAATTCTGAATGATAGCTTTGCTGGATAAAGTAATCTTGGTTGTAGGTTCTTGGTATTCATCACTTTGAATATTTCTTGCCACTCCCTTCTGGCCTGCAAAGTTTCTGTTGAGAAATCAGCTGACAGTCATATGGGTACTCCCTTGTAGGTAACTGTCTTTCTCTTGCTGCTTTTAAGATTCTCTCTTTGTCTTTTGCTCTTGGCATTTTAATTATGATGTGTCTTGGTGTGGTCCTCTTTGGATTCCTTTTGTTTGGGGTTCTCTGCGCTTCCTGGACTTGTAAGTCTATTTCTTTCACCAGGTAGGGGAAGTTTTCTGTCATTATTTCTTCAAATAGGTTTTCAATATCTTTCTCTCTCTCTTCTTCTGGCACCCCTATTATTCTGATGTTTGTACGCTTGAAGCTGTCCCAGAGGCTCCTTACACTATCTTCGTATTTTTGGATTCTTTTTTCATTTTGCTTTTCCGGTTGGGTGTTTTTTGCTTCTTCGTATTTCAAATCTTTGACTTGATTCTTGCGATCCTCTAGTCTACTGTTGGGAGTCTGTATAATATTCTTTATTTCAGTCAGTGTATGCTTAATTTCTAGTTGGTCCTTTATCACAACCTCGAGGGTCTCATTAGATTTCTTGTAGGTCTCATTAAGTTTATCGGCAGTTTCTAGAAAATTCTTGAAAAACCTCAAAAGTGTGGTTTTGAACTCTATATCCAGTAGTTTGCTTTCCTCCATTTCTGTCATTTGTGTCCTTTTTCTTTGTCTCCACATTTTTTATGCTTCCCTGTGTTGATATAGTGGTTTTCTGTGCTAAGTGTCCTCTAGGGCCCAGTGGTTCAGCCTCCCCAATTACCTGAGGAGTACACTCTTGGTGCACCCCTTTGTGGGCTTTGTGCACAGTCTTGTTGTAGTTAAGCCTTGATTGTTGTAGGTATCACTGGGAGGAATTGACCTCCAGGCCAATTGGCTGTGAGAATCAGCTGTGTCTGCAGTGGGAGAACTTCTGTGCCACCCATCCGGGGCAAGACTTGCTTCAATGGGGCTTTGGTGCTCACTGAGTCTGCCCCCTGAGTGTGTCCTTTATGGTTCCACGGAGCTGCAAACTGGATGGTCCCACTCTGACCTCTGGGTACACTGGCTCCTGGATCTCTAGGGAGGTGCTAATCTAGCCTCTGCCTGAGGCTATCCAGCAAAAGCCTCCCTGCAGGGCTTGGGCGGGGCAGGTCCCACGGGATCAACAGGGTGGGGCTAGCAGTTATGGCTGCTCTCAGAGGCCCAGCTTCTCAGTGTCTCGGCAATCGCTGCAAGCCCCTCCGAGAGAAAGCTGCCCTTGAGTTCCAACCGATGCCAGACAGTCCTGCTTCTCCCGTATGAGTCTGGGTCCCTAGAGACTCGCCCGGAACTGGAGCTCAGAGCCTGAGACTCCCTCCCGATTGAAAACGACAACCGCACCCTCAGCCGCCAGCCTGCTCTGCATGCACCTCTGCACCTTAGTATTTTACTTCTGCACTGCGTCTCCTCTGAGTCTCGGTATGATTTTCTCTTTCCTTCTAGTTGTAGAATTTCCACTCAGCCAGCCTTCCTGTGGTTCTGGATGATGTCCATTCCGTCTTTTAGTTGTATTTTTGAAGTGGTTGTTTGAGGCAGCAAACTCCGGTGTTTACCTATGCCGCCATCTTGGTTTTCCTGCTGGGCTTTTTAATTCTGACGCGTGTGACCTGTCCCTCACTCTTGATTGGAGCTCAGGCTCACAGTCTTTCGCGATTGGCTGATTCAAAGGAAGGGGTTGGCCTTTGCCGTTTCAAGAGGGCGGCCCCCAGGGGAGCGGCAAGTCATGCGGCCAACATGGTGGCTGCCAAGTCACGCAGCCCAAAATGAGGCTGTCTAAACTGTTCTTTGACAGAAAAGATGACGTGTTTATTCTCACAAGAGGGAGGGCCAGGACTGCTGTTCCCAGTAGGCAGATGCGGAAGCTGAGGCTGAGAGGCAGGCGGGAAGCCAGGACCCAAACTGCAGAGCTAGTCCTTCTGCTATACCACTCCCTACAGTCATGAATGGAAGAAAGGCCAGTATTATTATTTTTTTCCTAAATATATTTCAATTGATTTCAGAGAGAAGGGGAGAGGGAGAGAGAGATAGAAACACCAATGATGAGAGAGAATCATTGATCAGCTGCCTCCTGCACGCCCCACACTGGGGATCGAACCCACAACCTGGGCATGTGTCCTGACCGGGAATCGAACTGGGACCTCCTGGTTCATAGGTTGACACTCAACTGCTGAGCCACACCAGCTGGGCACCAGTATTATTTTTGTTTCCATTTGTCCATAAGAAGTGACTTGTCCCAAGCTGATGGCAGAAGTAGTCTTAAACCTAGTCCTCTTTATCCTTCTTCCCTGGCTCAGCGTGTTACCCTACAACCATGGTCGGCAAACTGCGGCTTGCAAGCCACATGCGGCTCTTTGGCCCCTTGAGTGTGGCGTCTTCCACAAAATATCACATGCGGGCGCGCACGTACAGTGCGATTGAAACTTCGTGGCCCATGCGCAGAAGTCAGTATTTTGTGGAAGAGCCGGTATTTTGTGGAAGAGCCACACTCAAGGGGCCAAAGAGCCGCATGTGGCTCGCGAGCCGCGGTTTGCCGAGCCGCGGTTTGCTGACCACTGCCCTACACTACCTCTTTTTTGTAAGTTTGTATCTCAGTCAGGAGTACATAATGAATACACAAAGTTTAAGGAAAAATAATGAGCCCAACAACTACGTACCTCTCCTATTGATCTGATGAGATAGAACAGTGCCAGAATCTTTGCACCTCCCTTACCTGCATGGCCTCATTGGACTTGTGACACTTGCCGAGTTAGGGGGATCCCAGGGCTGGCAGGGACCTCATGCTATTATTGGGGGAAGCCTGTGATGTTGCCCAGAAGTTCAAATATCCATGTTTCTCAAATACTGACCATGCGCCAGAATGACCCCAGGAACTTGTTAAAACTGCAGACTCGTTCCCTTCACACCTAGAGAGTTGTAACCCAGGAATCAAGTGCCCTAGGTCTTTGCTACTGAAAGTGTGGTCTTTGGATCTACCACCTGGGCCTAGTTAGAAATGCAGAATCTGGTCCTGCCCTAGGCCTCTGCATATTAGGGTCCCCTGCAATTCCATCATTCATGTGTAACAACAAGGGTTTGAGGATTGCTGCTCCAGAGGATCCTGACACCTGTAGTTTTGGGAACTGACTTGGAGAAACTCAGCTAATAACACTGCTGGACAGAGGCTGGGAAGAGAAAGACCCCAAAAGGACTTCATTCCTGACCCTGGGCACAGTTACTTTTCCACTAAGTCAGGGAAGGGACTTTTGTTTTATTTTCTTCTTATTGCAAACATTATATGTGTTCACTGTAGAAAACTGGCGAAAAGCAGAAAGAGAAAACATCTCACCATTCAGAGATAAAAACTGTTAACATATGGGTGTATTTTCTTCCAGATTTTTTTTTTCTATGCACATGTACATTTCCCCCTGAAATTGAGAGCATATTGAATTTACAGTTCCAAACCCTATTTTCATTCAACAGTATCTCATTAGCATTTCCCCATCTTTAAAACTTTTTCAAAAAATAATTATGACTATACTAGAGGCCCCTCAGCCTGGCCAGCGATCAGGGCTGATCAGGGCCAGCTGGCCGGGGGCGGGGGGCGGGGGGGGGGGGGGCGGAGGGACCACGGGAGGTTGGCTGGCCATGGGAGGTTGGCCGTGGGAGCACACTGACCACCAGGGAGCAGCTCCTGCATTGAGCACCTGCCCCCTGGTGGTCAGTTCACGTCACAGCAACCAGTTGACTGGTCATTCAGTCATTCACTTAGGCTTTTATATATAGAGAGTCCCGGTGCACGGGATTCGTGCACTGGTGCGGAGCGTGGTCTGTGGGGATCGGCCCGCTGTGGGAGTGCTGCTTATCCCACTCAGCTGAGTGGCTGTGAACCTGCCCTCTGAGCAGCTGCTCCCCACTCATCCCAGTCAGCCCAGTGGCGCTCCCACTGTGGGAGTGCACTGACCACCAGGGGGCAGCTCCTGCATTGAGCGTCTGCCCCCTGGTGGTCAGTGTGCATCATAGCAACTAGTCAACTGGTCGTTCTGGTCTTTCCCACGTTCAGTCACTGGGCTTTTATTATATAGGATAATGTTCCATTATTTGAATATAGCTGTAATGCAATTTTCCAGTTCCTAGTGTTAAAATTTTAAGTCCTTTTCAGTTGTCCACTATTACAGTTAACACTACAGTGATCAGCCCTTCACATCTCCCCAGGACAGGTGCCCATAAGTGAAATCCCTGGCTTCTAGGTTAAGGTGGAGCCCCTGGATAGCCCTATCAGCATTTACTCTTTCTCCAGCATTGCAACTTATTGTCTTTAAACACATTCCCAATATGAAAATGAACATCTGTATTTTGATGTGCATTTCTTTGATTATGTGAAGTTGAAAGCTCTTTTTTATGTGTTTCTTGGCCATTTGTGTTTTTTTCCACTCAGGAGTGTGTCCTTGTAAGAAATCAAGTTTAACAACAATGGTAATAGTCATTGACAAGTGTACTGAGCACCTGATATGTGCCCGCACTGTGCCAGGGTTCTCACATACCTTATTCATCCCACCCCCTCCAGTCCTTCCAGCGAGGGACTACCTCCTTATTTTACAGAGGGAGACACTAAGATTCAAAGGCCGTCACTAGGTTAGCGAGTAGGAGAACTGAGATTCCGACCAGGCACTGTTATGGTCTCATAACCCGGGTGTAGAGGGGCCCCCGAGGTCGGGGAGTGGATGGAGGGGCAGTCCTCACCTACCCCTTCAGCGCTCTCCCTTCTCCCCCAGACGGGAAGCCCATCTCCACCGACGTCATCGTCCTGGGCCGCACCAACCTGCTGATCGCCAGCGCGCACCCCCGGCACTCGGGCGTCTATGTCTGCCGCGCCAAACAAGCCCCCGCACGCGCGACTTCGCCGCCGCCGCCGCAGAGCTCCGCGTGCTCGGTGAGGCGGGGCGAAGCTGGGGGAGCGGGTGTGCGGGGAGACCGATGCGCGAGCTAGCTGGGACCGAGGGAAGAATAGGAAGGGGGAAGGGAGCAACTGGGTGTTTTGGAGAATTGGGAGACATGCTGCCAGAGAGGTAGGGCTGGGGGAGGGGCTGGTGGGGAAGAGAGCTTCGTAAAGGGGGGGAGGGGGAGGCTTGGAGGGGACAGACTAGATCATTGGAGGAGGGGAGGTGGTAGGAGGAGACTGGAGGAT